ACACGGTGCTGGATTGGGCGTCAATATGGAGTAACACCCCCATCGGATGACCGGTCCAATACCGGTCATCGATGGGAGTCGACGCGCGCGATTCACTCCCCATGATGACCGGTTATGACCAGTCATCGATGGGGGTGTATAATCCCATTGATGACTGGTCAAACCGGTCATCAATGGGGGGGTTTGGGGGGGTTGACTCCCATCAAGGACCGGTCAAAACCGGTCCTTGATGAGAGTGTGTCCTCCCATTGATGACCAGTGTCATAAATGGTCATCAATGGGAGGACTGTATGGCCAAATTTCATTTGTATTTTTTTTTTTTTTTTTTTTGGCCAAAGTGGCGGTTCAGTACCTCCATACTATTCTGCACCAATTCACCAAGTCTTGTGACTTGAAGTTTGTTCTTTGGAGCTGTAGAACCCAAAACAAGCAGCCAAAAATAACGGTCCACCCACTGTACAGTCACCCATCAGATGTTTATAGCCAGTTTGTTTGGATCACACAACCCCAACGCACTAACTTGAAGACATGACACATGGGCAAGTGGTACAGCGCTTCCAGGAAAGCTTGCGCTTTCCCCCGAAAAAAAAAAGAAAAAAAAAGAAAAAAGAAGAAAATTAAACTTGCTGCGCAGTGCGCATGCACCGCACTCAATGGCAACCTTCACCTGAAAGGCGGTCAAAGACCGTCAAACTCGAATCGGAATAGGTGTCGAACTCAAATAGGTGTCGAACTCGAACAGGTGTTGAAACCGAATAGGTGTCGAAACCGAATAGGGTCGAAACCGAGCAGGCGTCAAAACCAAACAGCAGTCGAAACCAAATAGCAGTCGAAGTCTAGCAGCGTTAAAATCAAGGAGCAATCAAACTTGGAACGTTGAAATCTGATTGAACTCGTGAATAACCCCCAAAACCAAAGATTGATTGAACTCTAGCATTGTTGGAATTGAGGAGCAATTGAAGTTGTACTCGTTGAACTCTGATTGAAATCAAGCTCGATTGCTGGCTCAATTTCCTGTTGCGCTCAATTACTTATCGCACTTGATTTCCTGTCGTACTCGCGTGGCACTCGATCCCAATCGGCCGTCAAACACAACTATCAGTAGACCCCAAGCACCTACCGATCTCTGATAGAAGCAATTGCCACACAAAGACTAGTCGATCTCAGATAGTGACTGTCCTCGCGGCGCTATTGAACTCTGATTCCTATTGATCTTCGATAGCAACTGACCTCAAAGCGCTTCAACAACTCAAAGAACTGACGATCTCAAGTAGTGATTTAACACACACCTCAAGGTGTGTCCTCCTCCTATCTTCCTCCTCCAGCCTGTTCAAACACACTGATTGATGTTGTTTTAATCTTGAATACAGTCAAAATCATATAGTAATCAGTCTCAAACAGCAATTGAAGAGGGCCTCAAGGTGAGTGCTTTTTCCTCCTCCATTGCATGTTTGTATAACCTCTCTAATTCTGTACAACCTCACTAATCAAGCATTCTTTTGTCATCTAGTAGGTAAGATGCATGTCATTTACAACACACAATTCAAATTTCAGGTGGTCAGAGCTGCGCTGGAAGGCTCAACCTTGGACGAAATCAATGAACAACACGGATCCACTGTCAGCTCTGATTCCCTTCGTCGGTGGAGCCGGCGATATCAAGAAACTCGCTCTGTTGTCTCCAATCCAGAAAATTATTCCATCCGTAGTTGACCACTGGCTTTGGATGCAGGGGAAAGGGAGTTTCTATCCCAGATAGTGGCCAACAATCCAACCATCTATCTGACTGAAATTCAGCAATGACTCTCCGACAAGCGAAATGTTAGGATTTCTTTACAAAAAATCTCAAACAAACTCAAGATCCAACTCAAGTTGTCTCGTAAAACCATGCGAACTGTTCACCCTAGCCAGAATATGGAGGATTGGCTCGATTACATCACATTGATAGCTCACTATGATCCACAATGCCTTGTTTTTACTGGTGAGTTTGTTTCATTCTGTCAAATATTCCTTGATGCTCATTTTTGGTTTGTTTTTGTCTAGATGAGAGTGGAGTATGCTCTGATGGTGTTGTTTGTACCCATGGTTGGGCACCAGTGGGAGAGAGGACGCAGCGAGCTCCTCACGCACGTGCTAGGCATCGATTCAACTTAGTTGCTGCTGTTGCTCTAAGTGGATTGGTAGCTTCAATGGTCCAGGAAGACAGCATGGATTGGTTTGATTTTGAGTTCAACTTGGAGAATGTTCTAGTAAGTATCATCACTTTCTCCATGTCCTACCAATAGAAACTAACATGTTCATACAGGTTCCAATGATGAATCCATTTCCAGCACCTCAAAGTGTGCTCATCCTAGACCATGCATCCTTTCACCACCATGGCCGGATTCAAGAGATTGTTGAAGAAAAGGGATGTCATATTATTTATCTCCCATCCTATTCACCTGACCTCAATCCAATTGAAAAAGGATTCAGTGTCTTCAAAGCTTCATTAAGGCAATATGCAGAGCTCAGTGGAGGTGAAGATGATGGGGATGAAATTGAGACATTTGCCAATTTCACCTTCACCTCAGAATTGATTAGAAGCCTCTTCCAAGGTGCTAGTTACATTGATTGAATGTTTGATTTGTTTTCTTTTTTTTCTGTCAAATCCAATCACTTTTCTTTTCCCAACATTACTTATTCAATTGTCCTCATGTTTTGCTGAGTTCTTACTTGAAACAGAATTTTTCTCTGAATAGATCATGTTGATCAAAAGAAATTTGTTCAGTAATTAACTAAGCTACAGTAAAATTTGCTGATATGAAGTTGATTGTGAATGTGAACCATTCAACACCAACTATTTTTAGTGAGGAAGAAAAACAATGGATAATTGAGCTATAGTGATAAACACAAGTTCAAAAGAGAGGAAGAAAAACCAGGTTATTGAGCTACATTAATCAGATTAAGGTCAAATAAGTGAAATAATAGCTAATTGAGAGCCAGTGAGGATAACACCAAATATTGAGCAAGTCCAAATGATAAAAATTGAAACAAACTACATGGATTGCGCAGAAGAAGCTAATGAATTTATTGTGACTGATGCTTCTTCAAGTAGTTGACATATAGAGGGACAGATTTGATGATTGATCGAGCTGGGCCAACAGGAATTCCTGAATTCACAAGTTCATCAGCTGTAAACAATTGGAACATGGTCCAGTGGGTGATTCCTAGCTTTTCAAGACCATCTTTCAACAATTAGCCTTAGCCCACAAATTTACTCTTGGGAGTGTCAAGGCAAAGAATTCATTTATATTTTCAGGATTGATAAAGACCTGTTTTTCAGGGCTGCCAGAGACTCTCTTGCAAGGTCCATGGGCCGCATAGATCTCCTCAAGTATCACCCGATGAGCCATTGCAGATAGAGCCCCATTCGATGGCACATGAGGAGGCTTGCTGTTACTAGTTGAAGCATTTGCCTCCAATGACTTGTAAGCATTTTGTTTCTATGTGGAGGCAAAAAAACAGTTAGTTCAATGTAGTGATTCTCATGAAGTGAATTCAAATATTGTCAGGCGTGGTGATGCCAAGACCGCAAGTCTTCTAGCTACACCGGCTGATAAGGCTGGTTTGGTAGTGGATGAGGAAAGTGTAATTAAATGGAAAAGGAGGGGCCCGGGTAGCGGGGGTGTTTACGGTGCCCTCCTGAGGTCACTAGCTTTTAACACGCTTGTTGCAGCGGTTCATTTGTGCAGCATAGTCTTACGGGGTCTAGTGATACTAGGGTATTTGGTCCGAGTAGTGTGTATGGACAGGGGAATAGCAAGTAAAGCTATTCCTTGGCGACAAATTACTGGCACTCAGGTGCAGAACTGAAGGGAGTATGTGGTGCTCTGAGTGGGGTGTGCTGGGTAGCGGAATGATATTTAGAAAAAGATGTAAACTGGAAAAGGATGCTGAAAAATTACTAAACTGGTAAACTGATGATTTCTAGATACCTGGTTTAATGGTTCCTTTTATACTGTAGGTACCAATACTGGATGCTTGAAAAGGGAAATGGAGTTCACCGGTCATCTCTGAGAATCTGAAATGATGTATAATTTTCCAGGAGCTTTGACAGGGGAAATCTGCCCATCTCATGTCACAGTCTCCTGTCATGATGTCTTTTAATATGTCACTAGTTTCTGTAAAGGACATTTTATGTCATTCATTTTTGTAATATTATTTGATTATTAAATCTATTACTTATTATCATGAGTTATTTATGGAAATATTGCAGGTCAGCTTGACTCTGTAATAGTAGCAAGCTGACAAATATGTACCTTTGCAATAGCCTTGAGATCTTTTTGTACCAATCTACATGTTACCTTTTGGTTTGCACGCGCAGCTCCAGCAACATCCAAGAAATGTTGAAAGACGTCAGCAGAATTGAGGTGTTGGTTGTGAGTTGCGGCAAAGGTTCCACCGTTGGTAATTGATACATCCCAGCGTATTTTTCGTTCGCTTTCTTGGGTTTCCACAAAACCAGAAAGTGGTTTGTTCTCCTCATCATGTATCAATTTGATGACAGCAGACTTGAAGCTACAAAGGTTGTTATCTCCAATCGGCCAATCCAAGATGAGTTTATCAATATCTGAGTTGACTTTTTTGGTTGATGGGACGGAGGAGCGTGGTTCTTTTTGTTTATGAGGTCTGCTAACTTGATTGACAGCTGGAAGATGAAGTGTGAATTCAATGCGGACTGGAGCAATGACAGGGGTTTCCCTGGATGTTTGAGCATCTGTGTTGGTGAGCGGGTTTGCTTCTGAATCCTGATTTTGGTGGCTAGTTGCATGGCTTCTACTACTAGGGATGAGATGTTCCTGAGACTTGGATTGAGAAGATTGTTTGTGGTGAAAAGTGTTGAAAGATTGAGATTGAGTGAGTAGAGGATCCAAATGGGTTTCACGATTTACGTTACGAGAAAGATGGGCCGTTCCATCAAACAACTGTGGGACATGTGGTTCTGAATGAGCTGATTGCTTGCCAAAGGTGCCATCTGGGTTCAGCTGTTGTTGAAGCCACTCATGTGCCAAGCGTCGAGATGGCAACATTGGGTGATTGGTGGTGTGTTTGTTGGGATTAGACATCTTCCTGTGATTGACCCCTATAAAATTCAATTGATTTGTTTTTTCAAAGAAAAAATCAAAGTAGATATCAGTCTCAGGTTTGTGTTTTGTCAGAGAGCAAAAAAAGGGATATGGGAAGAGTTTGGACAAAAGGCAAACACAAGCTGTTTATAGAATCTTTGATTAATTCCAAGTGACGTAACAATTTCGAGTTTTTAAAGCACGGTAGATTTAGGTTGATTTTAGAAAGGTCTGGCAGACAATATCAATCAGCCCGATTTGTTGTTGGAATGATGAGGAAAACTGAGTCAGAAAATGAGATAGTGACAAAGATAATATTAGCATTGCTTGAGTAATGATAATCAGACTTGACACATAACAAAAAAAAGACAGTGAAACAGAAAATGAGATGGACTCTGGGTCAGAAAATGAGATAGAGGAAATAGAATCCTTCCACAAACTCACTTCTGGCCCAGGTCAACTACAACATCTGTGACATGTACATGACAGGCAAATTGAGAAGAGGAGTGGAACAGAAAAAGACAGCTCAACACGGAAACCAACAGCAAAGCACTGTTTAGGGCAGTGATGTAGCCTTCGAAACGTCACAGCGAAGCACTGGTTACGACAGTTTTGTGTGTGGCTTGGGTAGATCTAGAACAAAGCCAAACAACACTCAGCTTGGCAATCAAAAGCCGTCTTGATTTGACAAACGGAGCCAATCGGCTTGATGTAGCCGTTGAAAGGTGACAGCAAAGCGCTGTTTACAATAGCTTTTGTGTAGATCTAGAACAAAGCCAAACACTCGGCTTGGCAATCGAAGCCCGGCTCGCTTTGATGAACGAAGCCAATCAACTCGATGTAGCCTTCAGAATGTCACAGCAAAGCGCTGGTTACGACGGCTGTGGCTTGGGTAGCACTAGAACAAAGCCAAAGATCGGCTTGGCCAAACAAATTCGACAAACAAAGCCAATTGGCTGGATACAGCCTTCGAAAACCAGGTAGAACAAAGAATCAATGACAAATCTGTTTGCAACAACAAACAAGACCGTCAGTGAGTTTGATTCCAAAACCAAGAGAAAAGAAATGACAAGGCTACCTACCAGTTGACCCAAACACCAATCGATAACCTTGGTCAAGGTGATCTGATCGAGGGAATCAGGCTTGATTGCAAAACCAAGAGAAAAGAAATGACAAGGCTACCTACCAGTTGACCCAAACACCAATCGATAACCTTGGTCAAGGTGATCTGATCGAGGGAATCAGGCTTGATTGTGAGGCTGCACAGTGGTGCATGCGCACTGCGCAGCAACTTTAATTTTCTTTTTTTTTTTTTTCAGGGGAAAGCGCAAGCTTTCCTGGAAGCGCTGTATAACCGTGTTTCAAAAAATGATTCTATAAACAAAAATACAAAAAACTAATTTTTAAAATTTGCAAAACATATTACAGTTATTTCACTTTTTTCAGAAGTTTTGATATTGCTCCAAATGAAAAAATAAAAATATGAAATTGGAGTAGGGTATGCTGGAGGAATGATAATAAATGAAAATTTTGAAAAACTAAGGCCCTGTTTGGCTGAAAATCACGACTTGTGATTTGGCTAAGGTTTGGCGTGGATTTGGACTGTGTGATATAAAACAATATAAAGTTTTTGCACAAACTCCTGCCAAACATTGACTCAAAATTACCCATTGCAGAAAGCCAAACGGGGCCTAAGGCGCTATTAAACTGGTGTGGAGTGAGGCATTCACCAGACTCACAGTGGAAAATTCAATGGAAAAGGCAGTGTGATCAAATTCCACTTGCATTTTGACCTGGATACTGAGCTCTGAATAATTTCTGGAGTTTATTTTTTCATTTATTATCATTTTCCTTGCATACCATACTACTCTTTCCGATTTTTATTTTAGCATTTGGAGCAATATTGAAACTTTTGAAAAGAGTGCAATAATTGTAATATTTTTTGAAAATTTCAAAAATCAGTTTTTCATTCTTTTGTTTACAAAATCATTTTTTGAAACCTATTTTATACCAGTTTCCCATGTGACATGATTTCAAGTTGGTGGGTTGGGGCTGTGTAATCCAAACAAACTGGCTGTAAACATCTGGTAGGTGACTGTACTTACAGCCTAAATTGCTGTCCCAAGGTTCTCCTCTTTGATCATTTCTTAGTCCACATAACTTGAAAGCACAAGATGATGACATAATTATAATTCTTTGTTGAAGTTCAAGGGAGATCAGATGATTCATTGTGAGTTTGGATTGAATCTATGAGAGGGGTCTAATAAAATGATGGTGTTTTGGGAAAACCGTCTTGACACAGATGATTTGAGACATTGAAAAATTTGGGTGAATTTGATGGCTTGACTGTAGACTTGGAATTACAATTTGCTTTGCCTTCAGGATTTAGTTTTCTGCCATGCTGCTTACTACACACCAATGTTTTTTTTTCAAACACATTGTAGTCAAGGGAGAAATCAGAATTGTTCAGGGGATATTTTGGTGTCTGGGACAGGTAACATGAGTGAA